ATGTCCGACAAGTGGCGGCAGCGAAACGCCCACCCGCTCCACCTCTCCGTTGCCGGCAGCTCCTCCATTCAGGGAGACTTGCGCGGAGGTCGCCATGGCGCCGGCGCCGCCGGCGGTGCCCGAAGATGGCAGTGCGACGATTGGGTCGTCGTCGAGCTCAGCGCGGCTGAGTTTGGGGCACAGCAGGTGCGGCGCATCATCGGCGCGGTTGTCGCCGCCGCGAGGGGCAGCAGCAGCGAGCAAGGCGCGGGCGCGTCGCTGGAGAAGCACTTTGGGGGCGACGCACTGCCGCCCCTCGCGCCAGTCGAGCCCCTGTGGCTGCATAGCCTTACCCTTGTCGATGGCACCAGTCTGACCGCCAGCGAGCAGTTGGACGGCGAGGTGCCGGCGCAGCGAACTGACGCGGAGACAGCCATCGAGCACGCGGTGATCCGCACGGCTCAGACCCCCATCGACGAGTTCGTTCGCGCTCTCGACGCTGACGTCTCGTTGTCCGGTGCCACTGCGGATGATGGGCATGGAAGCGCAGCCGGAGAGGGTGAAGGTGTTTACGAGAGGATGCGTGTGCGCGAGGGTCTCGCCACGCTGTCGCTGACGCCCCCAGGGCCCCGTGTTTCACGCTTATAATACGCTAGATCGCATGGCGCAAATACGTGACGGGGGGGCCTACGGGGAGGCTGTGCGGACGGCACGACGGACAATCGACGGGCTGGGACAGGGGCGAGAGCTCCCGTCGGACACGGCTTGGCTCACGACGCTCTCGGTGATAGGAGGGATGGTCCCGGAACCCAGCGCGCGGGCCGTCAGACGGGAGGCAGAGCGGGTGGCCGAGGCGAGGGGCAACATAGATCCGGCGGGGGCCAGGTCGACTGTGACCCGCGAAATCACAGCAGGCTGCGCCGACGCCGCCATGGCAATATGGGAGACCGTCAGCCAGTGGCGCACCGCGAACGGGCAGTCGTCATGGACCGGGGGTGTGGCGGGCGACGACGAACGCGAGGAGCTGGATTGGGAGGTCTCCGACTACGAGCTGGAGGGCGAGGAGGATGACCAGCCCGACGAGATGACTGTCGACTCCGGCGAGGGCGGCCCGGCCGATGCGGCAGATGGCGAGCCACCCGACGGGGAGGACGGAAGTGGTGACGAGAGCGAGGGCCAGGATGGCTCGGGTGGGGGGGGGGGCCGGGGGCCCGCGCGGTGCCCGG